TGCCTGCTGGTCCCCCTTGACTAGTTTGTAGACTGCCACTAGATCCCCTCTCAGCCTTCTCTTTTGGAGGCTGAACAGGTTCAGGTCCCTCAGCCTCTCCTCGTAGGGCCTGCCCTGCTGACCCCTGATCATGCGGGTGGCCCTCCTTTGGACCCTCTCCGTATTGGCCACATCCCTCCTGAAGTGTGGCGCCCAGAACTGGACGCAGTACTCCAGCTGCGGCCTGACCAGTGTCGCGTAGAGGGGGAAGGATTGCCTCCTTGGACCTGCTTGAGATGCATCTGTGGATGCATGACAAGGTATGGTTGGCCTTCCTGACCGCGTCACCACACTGTCGGCCCATGTTTATTTTGGCATCAATAATGACTCCAAGATCCTTTTCTGCCTCTGCACTGACAAGAAGGGAGTTCCCCAGCCTGTAGGTCTGCTTTTGGTTCTTCATCCCCAGGTGCAGCACCTTGCACTTGTCAGCGTTGAAACCCATCCTGTTCTCATCTGCCCACCCCTGTAACATGTCTAGGTCTTGTTGCAGCCTATTCCTCCCTTCTAGTGTGCCCACTTCTCCCCACATCTTAGTATCATCTGCGAATTTGAACAGGGTGCTTTTTACCCCCTCATCCAAGTTGCTGATGAAGATGTTGAACAGTGCGGGCCTGAGGACCAAGCCCTGCGGAACCCTACTGCCCACGTCCCTCCATGACATCTCGGATCAGGGCTCCAGGCAAGCATCAGCCCTCCCAAGACAACAGGTCAGGGTCGGCAGATGGCTCCCTCCATCCCCTGCAGAAGGGAATCTCCAACCACCACTACCTGTCGCTTCTTCTTGGTGCTGATCATCTCTGTCTTTCCCACCTTGGTCAGGCCTGACCCGTTTTCTTCCACCAATGGAATGTGTTCCTCCCTCTCTGTTGCTAGGGCTGCATATCTGTTCTCCAGACAAACCACTGCAGGTGGAGGTGAAGATCTCTGCTTGCTGCTACAAGTCGCAAGCCTCCAGCTTCCACCCTCCTGGGTGTCCACGTCCTCTTTCTTCTCTAGCACGGTGTCTGGTATTTCTTCCTCACAGTCCCAGAATTCTCCTCCAGCACTGAATCAATAAACACCTCATGGCAGAGGATGCTTCGGAGCCTCGCCACTTCCTCCTGTAGTTCTCTTGCCTGTTCCCTGAGACACCACCAGGAGGCACCGCTCATACCTCAGGCACTCCCTGACCTGGCCATCACTGGAAGGAACCTGAAACCTGCAGTCCCCACAGCACCAAACCTGGACCTGGGTGGAAGCGTCGATGGTGAGCAATCCTGCCTAGACAGAAGCCTCACAGGTGCAAGCAATGGCAGTAGCTGTGCCTCTGGAAGACCAACATCCTCCAGCCATGTCTCTGGGTCTCTTAATCTGCCTTCTCTCTCTTACAAGCAGACCTTCCCTAGAGAACTTGCCTGGAACTGGCCTGTTTATGTCTCGTTGGCCCCAAAGGGTTCCTCTTTTTCTCCTCCTTTCTCCTGCCAAGCTGAAAGACTTGCCCTTCAAAAAAAAAAGGGGGGGGGAGGCCCACTAACTGGCCTGGGAACTGCCCTATGAACTGCCGGCAAACTGCTTAACTTGTTTGCAGTCCCTGTTTGCTGGCTCCCTGGTAGCCTGGGGAGTCTCTTTTTACACCCTACTGGGCCAGGACTGGCTCCACTCCCTTGTTAGGGCTTCTGTCAGGCCCAGGAAGCAATCACTCAGCAGTCAGCCATTACTCCCAAACACACACAGCCCACCAAACAAACACTTAGCAAACCAAAGGCACAGGTAGCTGGATCACTTACCTTCCCTGGGCAGGATCTGGTGCATGGCTTCTCTTCCCCTCCATTTTCTTGGCCCCAGCAACTACCGGCAAACTGCTTAACCTGTTTGCAGTCCCTGGTCACCTGGAGAGTCTCCTTTTATACCCTGCTGGGCCTGGACTAGCTCCGCCCCCTCATTAAGGCTATAGTCTGACATCCCTCTGTAGTTTATAGTCTATAGTTTTCTAACATTTAGACTATAAATCTATGCCAAATCTGTGCATTATGCAAAATCCTTAAAATCAAATATGTTCATTATTTAATTTAAATCTAGTGGACTGCACTTTCATGACTTGAAATACATTTCTAATAATGATGGCTCAATTCTGTAGTCCACCACCACACTGAAGGAAATCTTACATGGAGCATTCTTTATCTTCTTTTCAAATACTTGCAAACTCATCAATGTCAACTTGATGCTTTTGATTACCCTACACAATTACTGACCCTTCTCTTATCTTACTTAAACAATTAAGTTACTCTTCCCAGTTTCTCACAGGCTATAAAATTCTACAACCTCTTTGAAAGGCATTAGTTTCCCAATTATGTCGTCAAGATACTGACATCAAGATATCTTTGAGAAACAAAAACCTTGGATACATAAACTGGCTCCATGAATGTTGAGCAAAAATTCATTTTTAATATGTACAATCTAAACCAGTTTGTTTCCTCTTTTTCCTACCGTAAGACCCAACACTAGTTTTATTTTACAAGACTTTAACAGATCAATGGAGTTGGGGGGGGGTGGGAAGGGAGGGGGGCACACAACCCCCAAAATCTGATTTAGTAAAAACCATGTTCTACTCAGAAAGTCAGACGGATGTTGAGAAGTGATTTTTAATGCACCGTGTCTGTCTACTAAGGGCATGATTTTGAAAAGAAGCTTAAATACACCCTGTGCATTAGAATTTTATCATTGTAAACCAACATTAGAAAAGAGTGCCATCGACTTAAAAACAAAAAAGACATTCTTATAAGTGGAAAATCAATCACCAAAACCACTAAATGTCACAGCTCAACATTCCAGGGAAGCACTGATAATTGTTAGTTATACACTGCACAAATGATATATGTCCTCAGTCAAGGAAGTAGGTGCCAGTTTTTAGGAAACTGTACATATATTGATTTTACATTTATTTAACGTGGCCGTTGTAAGACACTTTATTCTTCTGATAAACTATGATTGCTTATCAAAAGATTCTATAATTCAAGAGAAACATTCATAACGTGTGTGGAAATGAAAACCACCAGCCCACAGGAATCATGCCCACAAAATCCAATTTTGTGGATTTATAGCAGAAAAGCATTAAACTACTGTCTTGCAGGAGCAGCAGACTAGTCACTGAAGTATAACTGGCATAGCAGTAATGATTAAGGTGACATGTCCTCCTGCCACAGCTGTTAATCAGCTTAATACCAGTTACATTATTGACATTCTTGTAATTACTTTTCCTAAGGCACATTTGTGCAAAATATATTTGACTTTAATTATGAGTATTCAGAAGTGAGTCCATTTCATGAAATGGATGTTAAGTGTGGGAATTCACTGCACAAATATCACATGGATCTAAAAGCTTAGATCATGAACACTACATGCTACCGCTTAAAATATGTAAATGGTTTACAGTTGTACCTTGCCATCTTCTGAGCATATGCCCATATGTTCTCCGCTTTCATCAAGGCTGATCTGATTTATCTTCACTTGGCTCTATATACATATATAAAAAAAAGCACATAAAACTTTAAGAAAAGGTACATCAATGATCAAATACCCTGTTTTTCCCACTCAAGATTTAAATAATAAAAAGTGGTTGAGGGTTTGAGCTACATGAGTTCAAGAAAAATAAAAAAGGTCTTTCTGTAACAATGCTAATAGACCTTTGTTCCCAGCCATTATGCTTAACCCAGAAACCTGACATTTTTCCTAATTACCTATTCCAGGGACTTGGAGTTGTATGTAAAATGCCATACCTCTCTAACTCACAGGTTTGAATCTGTATACTACATTCTCATTATGAGGCTCTCACAAGTAAAACTCATTTTTAAAAAAATGTCGGAAAACGTTATCAGTAAAACAGCATAACATTTTTTTCAGAGTTGTTCCAAAAGGATATTGGCAATTATTTTCTTGTGAAAAATTAGTTCTAACTTTTCACTTCCATATTTAACAGCAGCTTCAAAAGTTAGTGTTAGAAAGTATTTCAGCAACAGTCATAAAACTATACAACCTATACCTTATCGTTAAAAGGTAGTTACTGAGAAGGGCATCAAGAATACTTTTGCTAATTTTATCTCTACTACTCTTTTAAGGTGATTGTTTTCTTCTATCTGTAACCCACAAAGTTACACAGCACTTAACAGTACCTTAGTTTAACAGAAATTGTTGCCCTGACATCAAGTACTGGGCACAAGAGCATTTAACTAAGCACAAGAGCATTTAACTAAGATATTTAACACTATAAGAATAATCTCAATATTTAGCCAATATCTGACTACGCTATACTGCACAAAAAAATTCTGATCACTTGAATAATGATTTTATGCCCCGTATTATCAAAGTTACTATCATTTTTCTGTTACCACTTAAGGTTCTCAACGCAGATTTTAACTTGAAAAACTTTGCAGATTAATCATGAAAATGTAAATAGCCTGCACACAAATGTATGCTCGCAACTGTTACTAATATACTAAACCCAACAAAAAGAACTGTACTGCACTACTACTGGCAAGGGATAAGTATGTAATCCCAGCACTGCAAATGTTGGCAAAAGAGGGAGCATGCAGGTGTTTCAGCCTGCAGCTGCCCCTTCATACCTGCAGGCAAACCAGGGCTGACCTGGGTACCTGATGGCCACAGGAAAATGCTCCCTACACCTTCCACAGTTCAGGGCCATTCTGGAGTTGAGCCATGGAAAATGCCCTCCGCCATATATTTTAGGCATTTCAAAATATATGGTGGGGGTGGGAGGGGTATTTTCTCCATAGCTTGACTCCTTCAAGGAGCAGGTTCTCTAAGATTAGAGAGAACAAAAAGGGTTTATAATCTTTTTTGCTTGTTTATACATATATATGTATTGTGTATATATTTGTATGAATATTATATATACATACATTATATTCATGTACATGCTCTATATATTGCATATATTATATAATATATATAAGCATATTATATATATATATACATATTTATATACATATGTACACTGTGATGAGTAATATATTGCACATTACATATATTATAATACATGCAATACATTATGGGCATAATGGGCAAGTACAACATAGATTGGAGGAATTTAAGACGTGAGTAGTATTCACCTCTAAATGCAGTTATTCATTTAGACTTGTGTAAGGCTATATATAATATAATGCATAATAAAAACTAAGGCACTTCTTCTAAACATGTCTTTCCCATCTTTTAACATCAGGTGCCATACAAGAATAGAAGAGTGTACAGTAACACAGTTGACTGTTTAAATTTAACCATTAATAGCAAATATTGAAATTTTAGTACAGATAATACTAACAGGTTGTATATTTCTCTCACTCCTAGTTTTTACATTAAGTTTTATGGCAGAATTAAAAAAAGTAAAAACTTAAAAAAAAAAAAAAATCAGCAACTGAAATAAAGGTCCATTAGCCAACTACGGGTACTGCAACTTTATTTTTGTAACGAGATTTCACCTGATGGATTCAACTGTTTTACTGGACTGAACTTCATGATGATATTTTTTTCTTTATTCTCTCTTTCTCTCACTCACTTTTAAGAAAGGGAACAAACTTCCTGAAAACCTATTTATGTGCCTGCATAAAGGGGAGGAGCTTTTCAACAATAACAGACATTTAGGTTTCACTTGTATAGCACAAAGCAATCCTACGTACAGATACCGGAGATCTGCACACACTAGTTTTGGAACCACAAGCATTATAGCCACATCGATCTGGGCAGAATGCCACCCTGATGAAGCAATATTGGTTCTGGGACCCCAGCTAATATCTCCACATGTTGCTGCACTAAGCTATGTAGACATGCCAGCTTGTTTGGAGCTAGCACAGATATCTTTATGCAGCACTGCATTGTACCATGGAGAAACACCCTCAGCTGCTACCTCATTAAATCTGAAAGAAAGATGACACTGTGCAGGAGAACCTGTGCATTTCTATTTAAAGTGACTACATTTCAAATTGCTTTATTTTGATGGAGAAAAAAAAATTAAAACTTGTGAGCTATGTGCATCATCTTACAAAAAGTCTAAACATTATAACCAATGGGTTGAAACTAGGTTTGAATATGGTCATTAAGAATGTAATGTTAATATCGGCGCTATTCAATTAACAATACTGATCATCATCATCAGGCTCAGTGCCACAACAACTGGGATGGGACATTTAAGTGTGCAAAAAGCATCAATGATATTCATAACAGTTTGCACTGTGATGAGCCATATATGGTGCTCAGATTGTAAACTCTTCAGGACAGGGACCACAGCTTGTTCATTTGTAAAGTGCCAAGTGCATTTATGACACTGTATAAATGCTGTTAGCCCAAATATTAAAAAGCCACGCAACAAAAGCAATATGCTTTAACTCTGGTGATAAGGAGGAACCACTGCAGTTATGAAGGACTCCACAGTGAAATGATTAACCTGAGAACAAAATCAGAATTTCATAAAGAAAGCATGGTAGTTGTTGCGGGGGGAGAGGTGGAAATGTCTTCAGCTGAATTTCCATTAGCTGCAGTTTTATTTCTGATGGAGACACATTTGGAATTCTGGACAATATAAGTAAGTCTGACTGTTGAAAAAAAAATCAATAATGTCAAGCTGACACTATAGAACAAAAAAATGTTACCTTAATGGGAAAAAAGTTTAGGCAAGGAAAGAGGCCAGTGGGCATCTTACACATATAGGTTTGATACAAGCTTTTGCAAAACCCTAAATTTGAAGAAAAAGTCAAGTAACTGTCAACAAATGCACCTCGCGCAACAATCAATTACTTAAATAAAATGCTTGAAATAAATGCACTTAGTATGGATTATGTCAGCTCTTCAATTAGGAATAAATTCACGGCCATTCAAAAAGCCTCTTTTAATTGTGTTGTGTGTGGCAACTCCTTCTCCCCTGACACTCATCATCATCCCACCTTATACTATCAGTCCCCCAACGGTGGACCTAAGAAATCAATCTGCTAATGTATAATTTGTAAAGCTCCTCTGACTAACAAATGGATAATTGATTCTTTCACAAATGCTACATCCCCATGGATATGAAGTAGAATGAATAAGAAACATAAGACTGGATTTTACTCTAATTCTGTAAGAGATGCAATATTTACAAGCTAGAAATCTAAACATTTTAATAGTTGCCTGTGACTTCATGCCTTTTAGCCACGGTTAGCAAGCAAGCAACAGACACATTAAGAGTGTGAAAAGCAAAGTAGTGTTCAATAATACTTGAAGTAAGATGAGCTTGCTATAAGAGGCACCCATTGATAATACACTGAAGATAAGACTGCATAGAAATGCTGCTTACTAAAAGTATTTTCTTAAATTTTTCACAGCTAAACAAAAAACATAACCTAACCCAAGGTATGGTATCTTGTATACACTACCAAAAGAATAATATCTATAAACCTTTTATACAATACAAGATGATTGTCATTCCAATCACCATGCTAACAGATGACTAATTAAAATGGCCAATCCTCCATCTATAGCCATGTCTTGCCAGTCACTCTACAAGTTCAGCGTTAAAAAAAAAAATCAAACTGATTTGTCTCCTGGTTTTGCCTACTGATTAGTCATTAATATCAAAGGCCATCACCAGGGCATCTGGCACATGTAACCAGATGTGCTCAGTAATAACCTATTCCCTGCTACCCACAAGCTGATTTTAGATGGTAAGCCCTGTGGAACAGAGAGAATCATTTTCTTTATGTTTGCACTGGTTCCCAACATTGAGGCCTCTAAACACTAGTTTGATATCAGTGGAAAAAATAAAAAAGAAAGTGACCACCCAATATATTCCTCTCCCCACCCCCTAATCTCTCTCTCTCATAAATGCTCTAAATAAACTTCATGTAATGGCAGAAAGCTTACAATATGAAAAACCTAGGTCTTAAACACAGAGAAATAAACATGTCTCCATAGGTAAAGAAGGAAAATAATATGCTGAATTCATAACTTTCCATTCTTAATATAAAATGAATTTACTGATAACCAAAACAGCCTAATAAGAGTAGTGTGAAGGAAGTGAAAATTTGCATTTCCCGTAAAGCTTTTGAATCTGTCATCTTCCAAATAAATACTCAGAAGTTATACTGGAATTGGGGTGTGGGGGGAGTAACAGTATCAGAGTTTTGAATAAACTAATATAACCCACTATTTTTTTCTTTAGGGAAGCAGTCTTTATCTGCAAAAAAAAATTTAGAAAGGTTATCTAAATCTAAAATAGGATAAAGGCAAGGAATCTCTTAGTCTGGTATACAAGCTAAGGGAAACAGTGAGAAAGACAGAAAAGCCTACAGTGATTTCAATATTTTCCACTTCAGTGATTTCCTTAATCTTGTTTGTAAACTACAGGCTCAAATAAAAAACCATCCAAAGAAAAATTAACAAGGGATCTCTCTAAGTCTGGAACTGTGTTAGATAATCAAGAGTGTTTGTCCAAAAAACATAAAATAAAATTAAAAAATAGATAGAACAAG